AATCTGCATTAGATAATGGAGAATCAATTACATGCCAAAAACCTGCTGTCTCTTGTGCCATTAGTGCTGCACAATCATAGGGGAAACTGGGCTTCAGCTAACTCATCTGGTGAAAGTGAATTTACAAAATAGATCAGAAGTACAAGTACCATTCCCACTATCTCCACTCCCCTCTTTTAAATCCAGGGGAAGTAATGTAGATGGATTTAACACCATACACCTTTTTAGTGTAACATTAGGTGAAATAAGCAAGGCACATTGCATTCTGAGATGCCTTGCAGTATGTATGTGTTTTGGTTGAACTTGTATATGGTCACTGGGCTATCTAAGACAATATCAGTGGCTTTGTCCATGAGGGCAGTAACAGCTGCCACTGCCTTAACACATGAGAGGGTGGCACCCCTGGCAACAGGGTCCAGTCTGGTGGAGTAGTATGCTATTGGTCTTTGTTTACCACCATGGTCCTGTGTAAGGACAGATGTAGCATAACTCGATTGCTTTGCACAGTACAGGTTAAAAGTTGTAATTTGGAAGACCCAGTGCCGGAGCTGACGTCACCAGCAACTTAAGGGTGTAGAAAGCATTTTCTGCTGCATGGGTTAATTTAAATGGTTTGTTTTTGTTGGTGAGACAATCATACAGGGGCTGTATGTAGATTGCTGCAGAGCGAAGCCAAGGTCGGCAGTAAGAAATCAGGCCCAGGGATGTACGCAGCTGGGCTAGGCTGCAGGGAGGGGGGGGGGCGGGGGGGTGTGTGTAATATTTTGAACTGCAGTTTTTCTACTTTCCGTGAGATGTTTTGTGCCATGGGAAATACAATGCCCTAGGAAAATAACTTTTTCAACACATGATTGCAATTTCGCTTTTGCAGCTTTGCAGCCTGCTTTTGCCAGGAATTTCAGCAAGGAAAGAGTGTTCACATTACAAGTTTCCATATCATTGCAACATAAAAGTAAGTCATCGATATACTGCTAAAGGATTATGTTATCCGCCTTTGGCCACTCTTCAAGAATCTGGGTCATAGCCATGCTGTACATAGTGGGTGAGTTTTGTGCGCCCTGGGGCAATACTGTCAGTGTACTGCTTGTGTTTATGTGTAAATGCAAATAAATACTGACTGTCTGGATCCAGGGGGACACTGAAAAATGCATTTGCCAAGTCAATTACAGTAAATACCTTAGAGGAAGGTGAGATCTGTGACAACAGGGTGTGTGGGTTGGGAACATTAGGGGCAATGAGTTCAGTTACAGCATTAATTGCCCTCAAATCATGTACCATACGGTAGACCACAGGTTTCCCTTTCTCTTGCTTTTTCTTAATTGGGCACAATGGTGTGTTACAAGGGGAGGTGGTCTGGACAATTACCCCTGCCTGCAGTAATTCCTGCACATACTGGGGCTATACTGGATATTTGCATTAAGGGCAGGCAGTATATCACTGCCTAGTAGATTAGCAGTGGCATGAGGGCTGACAAGTAGCCTTGCTACAAGGGCAGTAGAGTTGTGTGGCTTCAATTTCAGTTTGTGGGTAAGGGGAATGTCACTTGGGATCCCATCCACCCCTACACATACGGGAACACATCCCATCCACTCATACGGGAACACAGGAGGTGGTGGAGGTCGTTGGTTGTCATGGGAGTTATCATTTGATTCTGGGGGTTTCTATTTTTAGGAGATTTTTAGGAGACAGTTGCGTTTAATGTGTCCTTTCCTGCCAAAATTCCAGCAGTATACCTGCCTTCTGTCTCCACCAGCTCTAGGGACAGATAGAGGTGTGCTCCTCTTTCTAGTATTTAGATTGGCTTCCTCCACCACAGCCACCTTTACCAGATCACCATAGGTTAAACTTCTCCACTCAGGTCTAGCATTTTGGAGACCAGTCCTTATGGGTATGTGGAAACCATCCATGAAGCAGTTAATACGGTAAGCAGTCTGGTGGAAGTGGTTACAATCAGTGGTGTATCCTGGTTTTGTGCTGCCCTAGGCAGAATAAAACTCAGGCGCCCCTCTCTCCCCCCACCCCTCGCACCACTCCCACCCAACCCTTCCCCCCGCCCCGCCTTCTAAATACACACACACACACACATTCACTAACAGATATGCATACACTAGCTAACAGAAATACACACACACACACACACACACACACACTAACAGACACACACACACTCACTAACAGACACACTCACTAACAGACACACTCACTCACTCACTCACAGGCAAACACACTCACAGGCAAACACTCTCACACTAACAGACACACACACTAACAGACACACTCACACTCACTAACAGACACTCACTAACACACACACTCACACACACACTAACAGACACACACACACTAACAGACACACACTAACAGACACACACACTCACACACACACACTCACACACACACACTCACACACACTAACAGACACACTCACTAACAGACACACAGACACACACACAGACACACAGACACACTCACTAACAGACACACTCACTCACTCACTCACAGGCAAACACACTCACAGGCAAACACACTCACAGGCAAACACTCTCACACTAACAGACACACTTACTAACAGACACACTCACACTCACTCACTAACAGACACACTCACTCACTAACAGACACACTCACACACACACTAACAGACAAACACACACACTCACACACACACACACACACACAGACACACACACAGACACACTCACTAACACTAACAGACACTAACAGACACACTCACACACACTAACAGACACACACTATCACACACTATCACACACACACACTAACAGACACACACACACTAACAGACATACACACACACACTCACTCACTCACATTAACACATTTTGTTATTTAACCCCCCCAGCCTCCTTAACTTTGGGAATGCTGGGGGGAGGCTTTCCTTTCTCCCTGGGGGTCCAGTGGCTGCTGGATGGGTGGCGCTAGCGGGCGGCTGGCGAGGAAGCACTTCCTCTGAGCTGTCTGCTCAGCTCCCTCACTGGCATCATATTCCGGCTCCCAGCCTCACGTGCCACCCGCCCGACCAGCATGTCAGTTAACTGGAAGACTAACAAGACATTTGCCCTGGGCATTTGGGGGCGGCTTTTTTTGCCGCCCCCTGGAAAATGCCGCCCAAGGCAAATGCCTTGTTTGCCTTGTGGCTAAAACGTCCCTGGTTACAATATCTGTGTAACCCAATGCCTCCCAAACCATCTGTAGTCTGGTGGTGAATGTTTCCACAGATTCATCTTTCCCTTGTAGTATATCTCCTAATTTATGGGCTAGTTCCTCTGTCTTTACTTTAGCCCATTCTCTCATTGCAGTGACATAACATGCTCCAGGCGCAGACTTGGTTCTATACCATTCATCTGTTTGCATGTTAATTCTTCTGAGGCTATCTTCATGGGCATCAGTATATTTAGCAATTATTCTAGCCCAAATGGGGCCAGCTTTTAGGGCGACAATCTGTTTTAAATCCATCCAAGTACATTGGTAAGTAGCTTGAATGGTGGATGGAGACTGGACTAGAGCTAAGGGGGCCTTTTCAACATCTGGTAGCTGCTGTATTATTGCCAGTTGTTCACTGGGTGTCTAGGGCTTATATTGTTCCCAGTATTGGATACCTGAGCTCGGCTGTCTCTTCTCATGGTATATGCTCTCAACTTTGGGTATCATGCAGGGGCGGACTGAGAGCCTTTGGGGCCCCCGGGCAAAATTAGATCCCAGGCCCTTTGAAGGCCAAATATACGTGCATTAAATAAATGTTAAATATAACTCATAATACGGCATTCCTTTGGATGTGTATATTGTCAAGACCTGTGTATCAATGCATGTTTGTATTTGAGTCTGTGTGAATGCACTTGTGCATGTCTGGATGACATGTGCTTTTTTGTATATAGTGTATCTGTGAATGCATATGTGACAGGTGACCGAGTGTGTGAGGGAGAAGGTGACAGGTGGAAGTGTGTGGGAGGTTGTGACAGGTGGCAGAGTGAGGGGGTACCTGGTGGCAGAGTGAGGGAAGGAGGGGTTGAGTGGTGGCAAAGTGAGGGGGAGACACAGTGAGTGGGGGTGACTAATGACAGAGTGAGGGAGTGGGTGACTAGTGACAGAGGGAGGGAGAGGGGGTGACTAGTGACAGAGTTAGGGAATGGGTGACTAGTGGCAGAGTGGGGGAGGGAGGGAAGAGATGGCTAGTGGCAAAGTGAGGGAGGGAAGAGGTGACTAGTGACAGAGGGAGGGGATGACTGGTGACAGAGGGAGGGAGTGACTATTGACAGAGGGAGGGAGTGACTACTGACAGAGGGAGGGGGTGACTGTCACTAGTCACCCCATCCCTCTCTCTGTCACTAGTCACTCCCTCCCTAACTCTGTCACTGTGTCACCCGCTCCCTCACTCACTGTCACTAATCACCTCCTCTGTCCCTAGTCACCCCATCCCTCTCTCTGTCACTAGTCACCCCATCCCTCTCTCTGTCACTGTGTCACCCGCTCCCTCACTCTGTCACTAGTCACCCCCTCACTCACTGTCACTAATCACCCCCTCTGTCCCTAGTCACCCCATCACTCTCTCTGTCACTAATCACCACCTCCCTCTCTCTGTCACTAGTCACCCCCTCCCTCCCTCTCTCTGTCACTAGTCACACCCTCCCTCACTGTCACTAGTCACACCCTTCCTCACTGTCACTAGTCACACCCTCCCTCACTCTGTCACTAGAGTGAGGGGGTGACTGGTGACAGAGTGAGGGAGGGAGTGGGTGACCAGTGACAGAGGGAGGGAGTGACTAGTGACAGAGTGAGGGAGGGGGTGACTAGTGACAGAGTGAGGGAGGGGGTGACTGTCACTAGTCACCACCTCCCTCACTCTGTCCCTAGTCACCCCTCCCTCTGTCACTAGTCACCCCCTTCCCTCCCTAACTCTGTCACCAGTCACCCCCTCACTCTAGTGACAGAGTGAGGGAGGGTGTGACTAGTGACAGTGAGGAAGGGTGTGACTAGTGACAGTGAGGGAGGGTGTGACTAGTGACAGAGAGAGGGAGGGAGGGGGTGACTAGTGACAGAGAGAGGGAGGGGAGGTGGTGATTAGTGACAGAGAGAGGGAGGGGGTGACCAGTGACAGAGTGAGGGGGTGACTAGTGGCAGAGTGAGGGAAGGAAGGGGTGACTAGTGACAGAGTGAGGGAGGTGGTGACTGTCACTAGTCACCACCTCCCTCACTCTGTCACTAGTCACCACCTCCCTCACTCTGTCACTACTCCCCCCTCCTTCTGTCACTAGTCACCCCCTCCGTCCCTTACTCTGTCACTAGTCACCCCCTCCCTCACTCGGTCACCAGTCACCCCCTCACTCTGTCACTAGTCACCCCCTCACTCTAGTGACAGAGTGAGGGAGGGTGGGACTAGTGACAGTAAGGAAGTGGATGACTAGTGACAGAGTGAGAGAGGGGGTGACTAGTGACAGAGGGAGGGAGGGAGTGGGTGACTAGTGACAGAGTGAGGAAGGGGGTGACACAATGACAGAGTGAGGAAGGGGGTGACTAGTGACAGAGTGAAGGAGGTGGTGACTGTCACTAGTCACCTCATCCCTCCCTCTGTCACTAGTCACCCCCCCCTCTTTCTCTGTCACTAGTCACACCGTCCCTCACTCTTTCACTAGAGTGAGGGGGTGACAGGTGACAGAGGGAGGGAAGGGGTGACTAGTGGCAGAGTGAGGGGATGACTGGTGACAGAGTGAGGGGATGACTGGTGACAGAGTGAGGGAGGTGGTGACTGTCACTAGTCACCACCTCCCTCACTTTGTCCCTAGTCACTCCTCCCTCTGTCACTAGTCACCCCCTTCCTCACTGTCACTAGTCACCCCCTCCCTCTCTGTGTCACTAGTCACACCCTCCCTCACTCTGTCACTAGAGTGAGGGGGTGACTAGTGACAGAGTGAGGGGGTGACAGGTGACAGAGTGAGGCAAGGGGTGACTAGTGGCAGAGTGAGGCAAGGGGTGACTAGTGGCAGAGTGAGAGAAGGAAGGGGTGACTAGTGACAGAGTGAGGAAGGGGGTCACACAGTGACAGAGTGAGGAAGGGGGTCACACAGTGACAGAGTGAGGGAGGGGGTGACACAGTGACAGAGTGAAGGAGGTGGTGACTGTCACTAGTCACCCCATCCCTCCCTCTGTCACTAATCACCACCTCCCTCACCCCTTTCCTCCCTCACTCTGTCACTAGTCACCCCCTCCCTCTCTCTGTCACTAGTCACACCCTCCCTCTCTCTGTCACTAGAGTGAGGGGGTGACTAGTGACAGAGTGAGGGGGTGACAGGTGACAGTGAGGGAAGGGGAGACTAGTGACAGAATGAGGGAAGGAAGGGGTGACTAGTGACAGAGTGAGGGGATGACTGGTGACAGAGTGAGGGAGGGGGTGACTAGTGACAGTGAGGGAGGTGATGACTGTCACTAGTCACCACCTCCCTCACTCTGTCCCTAGTCACCCCTCCCTCTGTCACTAGTCACCCCCTTCCTCACTCTGTCACTAGAGTGAGGGGGTGACTAGTGACAGAGTGAGGGAAGGGGTGACTAGTGGCAGAGTAAGGGAAGGAAGGGGTGACTAGTGACAGAGTGAGGGAGGTTGTGACTGTCACTAGTCACCACCTCCCTCACTATGTCACTAGTCACCACCTCCCTCTGTCACTACTCCCTCCCTCCTTCTGTCACTAGTCACCCCCTCCGTCCCTTACTCTGTCACTAGTCACCCCCTAACTCACTCTGTCACTAGTCATCCCCCTTTCACTCTGTCACCAGTCATCCGCTCACTCTGTCACCAGTCATCCGCTCACTCTGTCACCATTCACCCCTTCCTTCCCTCACTCTGCCACTAGTCACCCCTTCCCTCACTCTGTCACCAGTTATTCCCTCACTCTAGTGACAGAGTGAGGGAGGGTGTGACTAGTGACAGAGTGAGGGAGAGGGTGACTAGTGACAGAGTGAGGGAGTGATTAGTGACAGAGTGAAGGAGGGAATGGGTGACTAGTGACAGAGTGAGGGAGGGGTGACTAGTGATGGCGGGGTGACTAGTGAGGGAGGGTGTGACTAGTGACAGAATGAGGGAGAGAGTGACTAGTGACAGAGGGAGGGAGTGACTAGTGACAGAGTGAGGGAGGTGGTGACTGTCACTAGTCACCCCATCCCTCCCTCTGTCACTAGTCACTCCCTCCCTAACTCTGTCACTAGTCATCCCCTCACTCTGTCACTAGTCACCCCATCCCTCCCTCTGTCACTGTGTCACCCCATCCCTCCCTCTGTCACTAGTCATCCCCTCCCTTACTCTGTCACTAGTCACCCCGTCCCTCACTCTGTAACTAGTCACCCCCTCGCTCACTCTGTAACTAGTCACCCCCTCCCTCTGTCACTGGTCATCCCCCCCCTTACTCTGTCACTAGTCACCCACTCACTCTAGTAACAGAGTGAGGGAGAGGGTGACTAGTGACAGAGTGAGGGACGGGGTGACTAGTGACAGAGTAAGGGAGGGAAGGGGTGACTAGCGACAAAGTGAGGGAGGAAAGGGGTGACTAGTGACAGAGTGAAGGAGGGGGTTACTAGTGACACAGTGGGGGGGTGACTAGTGACACAGTGAGGAGGGGTGACTAGTGACACTGTGGGGGGTGACTAGTGACAGTGAGGGGGGTGATTAGTGACAGTGAGGGGGGGTGTGATTAGTGACAGTGGGGGGTGATTAGTGACAGTGGGGGGGTGATTAGTGACAGTGGAGGGGGGGGTGTGATTAGTGACAGGGGGGGTGGGATTAGTGACAGTGGGGGGGGTGATTAGTGACAGGAGGGTGACTAGTGACAGGAGAGGGGGCATTAGTGACAGTGAGGGGGGGGTGGATTAGTGACAGTGGGGGGGGGTGATTGGTGACAGTGAGGGGGGGGTAAGGATTATGACAGGAGGGGGGTGATTAGTGACAGTGAGGGGGGGTGATTAGTGACAGTGGGGGGGTGATTGGGTGATGGGGTGATTAGTGACAGGGAGGGGTGACTAGTGACAGTGGGGGTGATTAGGCATTGGTGGGGGGGTGATTGGTGACAGTGGGGGTGATTGGTGACAGTGGAGGTATTAGTGACAGGGAGGGGGTGATTAGTGACAGTGGGGTGATTAGTGACAGGGGGGGGTGGATGGTGACAGTGGGGGGGTGATTGGTGACTAGTGACTAGTGACAGTGGGGGGTGATTAGTGACAGTGGGGGGTGATTAGTGACAGTGGGGGGTGATTAGTGACAGTGGGGGGGGGAGGGGGTGATTAGTGCCTACCTGTCTCTCTGCTCTCTCCCAGGCTGCTGCTCCTTCCCCACGCTGGGCTCTGTGTGAGAGGAGAGTAAAGGAAGTGATGTCACTTCCTGGCCCCGCCTCTCCCATCACACAGAGCCGCATGGGACAGGGAGAAGGAGACCTGGCAGAGAGCTGGTGAAGCTGCCAGGTCTCATGGGGGGGGGGACTTGCAGAGTGGTAGGTTGTGGGGCCCTGCGCTGCATCAGGGGCCCCACAACCTATCAATTAAATAGTTTAATTTTTTGCCGTTCCAGTTGGAGAGATCTCTGATCTGATCTCTCCAGCTGGAGCATGGCTGTGCAGCCGGGCCCCTGACTGCCTCGGGCCCTCGGTCCATGACCGATATGCCCGAGTGGTCAGTCCGCCCCTGGTATCATGGGAGTAGTATTATTGCTAATGGCCCATTGCATAATATTACTCAAAAGATAGGTTTTGATTTCTGTAAAAGGGAAATCACCTGGTCTTTAGGGACCAAAGGAGTCCCTACATTATCCTGGTAAAGGGGTTGGTTTACAAGATTTTTCCCAGGATCTTGCCTACTCTGGGACCCTAGAGGTCCAAAACATTGATAATATGGTACACCTTTTCTGGTGGTTTCTCTACAACCACATTTAGTTAATTCAGCTGCAGCATCATGCCATTTTTGGGCGACTTCTACTAAGTCATTATCTTCTAACCATCCTCTGTAATTTGCCATAAATTCCCTCGATATATGTGGGTCTAGAGTGCCCTCTGAGAGCATGCCAGTGCTTAAATGGACTCTCCAGTGCCAGGAAAACAAATCGTTTTCCTGGCACTGCAGGTCCTCTCTTCCTCCCACCCCCCTTCCTAGGTTGCTGAAGGGGTTAAAACCCCTTCAGTGACTTACCTGTATCCAGCGCCGATGTACCTTGGCGCTGGTTCAGGGTCCGCCCATGCTCCTCCCCCGCCGACGTCATCCGGCGGGGGAGACCTATTGCGCATGCGCGGCCAGCAGCAGGGGAGACCTAATGCGTATGCGTGGCAATGACCTCCCCATAGGATAGCATTGAAAAAATTATTTCAATGCTTTCCTATGGGGATTGCAGCAACGCTGGAGGTCCTCACATAGCGTGAGTACGTCCAGTGATGCTATAGCACACAAAATGTGTGCTATAAACCCGGAAATGCCCTCTAGTGGCAGCCACTAGAGGAGGAGTTAACCCTGCAAAGTAAATATTAGAGTTTCTGAAAACTGCATTATTTATAGTTGCAGGGTTAAGGGTAGTGGGAGTTGGCACCCAGATCACTCCAATGGGCAGAAGTGGTCTGGGTGCCTGGAGTGTCCCTTTAAGTAACCTCTTAATATTCTTAATTGCCCCTTGTCCTTTGTGATACTTGACAATTGTAAAAGCCGTAAATCCCCATTGAGTGCTTTGAGAGCTACCCATCTTAAAACATGTAAGGGTTAATTACTTCCTTATGCAAGACAAACTATACAAAAACAGTGTAAAAGACACATAGGACCACTGCAGTGGAATTTTCACAGTCTTGTCTTCGTTATTCTAAACACAGATCAGGAGAGCTGCCCTTGGAGAATTCAAACTCAAATTATAAGACAAATGACAAGGCAAACAATAACAATAACTTAAAACCCTCAGTTATATTCCACTATCTCAAGATTCCTTCCACAAGACATAACACAACATCTATCTGAATAGAACCATAATACCACAGAAAACAAGTTCTTTAGATCGGACGTTTTTAAAATCCTTACCCACCCGAAGAAGGGTCTCAAAGAGCACCAGAGAGTGAAAATCAATTATAGGTAGAAAAATAAAAGCTTTTCCTCACCCGCCGCAGCTCATCATCTGGGCTCCGAGCCAACCGTTCTGGGTCCGGATGGACTGGATTCGTCTGATCCCGGGTTTCACTGCACCAATTGATATAGGTCCAAATATTGATCTTTGTTATATTCAGAGGAAGCCCAAATTATTATTTCAAGTGCACTTGGAGAAGCGTGAATTAGTCACCAGACGCTTGTTGGTTATCAAAATAAGCCTCTGTCGTTTATTTTTCACTTGTGTATTTATACTGTGATAAAGTGAAGGCAGATAGGCCTTTTAACCCCAGGGGAAGTACGTGTAGTTTGTGTGTTGCACAACACAAAGTTTTATTTAGTTATGGGCCCCTGGGGTGGAGCATTTGGAGAGAAGGGTGGGCCAATGCTCCACTCCACAGTTTAGTGGTTTTCTGGGGAGACATAGATCCAGGCCAGGGTTTTTTGGACCGTCTCCAACCCACTGCTCAGCTGCAGTTAATGAGCTGTTGCAGTGGGAATAAACCCCTCCCGGCTAGGCAGGAAAAGGAGAGGGATTGCTGGCTTCCTCCCAGGAAGCAGGTAGGAGAGAGAGGCTGTTCTCTCCAGATAGAGTCAAGGAGACTAGGCACTTGGAGTGCAGAAAGGAAGCAGTCAGGGCAAGGCTGGCTTGGAGCACAGTGCAGGGCAGTGCAAGGCTGGCTTGGAGCACTGGGAGTGCAGAAAGGAAAGCAGTCAGGGCAAGGCTGGCTTGGAGCACTGGGAGTGCAGAAAGGAAAGCAGTCAGGGCAAGGCTGGCTTGGAGCACTAGGAGTGCGGAAAGGAACGCAACAGGCTAGCCAGCAGAGTGTTGCTAACTAATAAGGTTGGTGCCATATGTTTTGTTAGTTTAACCCTGATAGAGAGGGACGTTCAAAGTGAGTTAGTGCTCAGACCGAGCTAGGTTTTTGTTTATAGGGTTTTGTGTTACATTTATGTTTTAATTTACTGCTGTATCCTGTGTGGATTTGCAAATAAAGTGACTGGATTATATGCAATTACAAGGACTGTGCATGTTTTTGCCCTAGAGGACCGTGCTACTTGCTGACAAGGATCACAATACATTAAAAAGTAAGTTCTTTTGTGCAAATATTGGACAGTAGTAGGAAGGGAGTGAAAGGAGTACAGATAAGAAATGGAGATGAACGTCATGTACATATAACAAATAAGTTCAGAGAATGAGAAAGAACAGACTGATTGAGAAGAGAGACAGCTCAGGAGGGGGCTATCTGCTCCCGGAACTAGACATATATGGTCTTAAGTGTCGTTTTAAGCATCAATCATTTCCTGAGTCTAAGTTAGCCAATTTTAATATAGGATATCTAATATGACACCTATAAGCTTGAACTTTGGAATCAAAGTATATTCTATCACACTAGTCCACCTTGAAATTGGATCCATGGTTAGGATTTAGTATTCCCGGTACTTCTAGGATTATTTTAAAAAAGAGCAGGAATTTGAAGAACATGTGGCTCCATCGAAATTAAAACACTTAGTTACCTTCTGATTAGTAAAGTACAAAAAGGGATTTTTAGTTGTGGAGGTGCCTGATGCTTAACTTGTAGTTTCATCTGCCATGGGAGTGTGTATTTTTGGACATTCTGTAGGAGATGCTAGATATGCTGTGGCCCATTGGATTAACTTGTAGTTACTACTTTTGTGATTTATACGCTGGGTTACTCTGTTGGGCAGACGCCCAGGTCTTTAAAGTACAGGTATATTGAACATAGGTTAGCCATTTAACACAAGACAGGAAATCTTCACTTACACATAATTTTAAATCTACACATAGGTCTGATCCACACTTTGTTTCGGTCTTGGGAATTGAGTGCATTGCCTTGAAGGGGGATACAGACCAATGGAAGATGGCGCTGATCACTGCTCAATCAAGCTGGATTCTTCAGTTGAATACACTCAGGCCCCATGGCATTAATGAGGAGATGGATGTGACATATATATGATGACTCTGTAATCAGTTCTCTTAAAATGATTGTGTTTAACTTATTAACATTTTTTTATATTTTTTGGAAAGTCAGGAAATTAATATATAGGTGTTTGGTATATGAAATTATTTTTTTTATCCAAACGCCATTTATAATCATTTTTTATTACTTCCAATTGTTAAGAAATATTTTTTTTCAAATAATTGTCTTTTTTAACCCTTATTTTTTTATATTATAAAATAATATAATTTATATGGAGATAAAGT